GTTATCATGACTGATTGTGACTGTCACACCTGTAAAGATAGAAGTTTTGTAACAAAAAGAGGTGGGTAGTTAATCTTACAGTCCAGGAACAGAGAACCCTAGAACCATCGTAGGAGAAGAGAATGAGTGGAATGTGGGACTCAATCCAGAGAAGCAGTGACACCAGAGAAGATGGAGACAGAGATGACAGCATGGAGAGAAAGAGAGCCACTGAGGACTCGACTCATGGAAAGAGAAAGGCTGTGTGCTGGCTGCCAGGTCCTGGTGGCCAGGAGGCTGGCTTGCAGAATGTGCCCTTTGGTTGTTTAAATGACTATATATTCCTCAGTGTTTTTGTGTACATTCACCCCCACCCCCCAAAAACCCCAGAAGGAATAGAAGCAAACACTGTTGAATGGTGATGCACAGAGGAAATTGTAATCATTGCAATGAAACAATGAAACTGATGTTCCTTCATGTAAACTATCACTCAATTCTCAATAAAAACTTAAAAGAAAAGAAAGGTTAATAGCATTCAAGATCAAAAGGGCAGCATTTACCTAAGGATAAAGTTGAGACTGGACAGGAAGGAGGGTGCAATGGAAAGAAGATCCACCGGGAGAAATTAGACTGTGAATGGAGGATGTGCTACTGTTCCATGGAGGGGATTATAATCATCGAGATGAAACAAGGTGCATGATTTATTGAATGTAAAACTGATGATCTCTGTAAACCTTCACTAAATTCACAATAAAAAGTTTATTTTTTTTTAATTAAAAAAAATACCATCACTATTACAAATACATTTTTCTAGGGAATTTACTAATTGAGGGCTACTGTTTCTTTTGTTAAAGAAGTGGACTACTTTTTGTCAGCAATCAACAAACACTTCTGTAAATTAATTTTCTATGGTGTACAACTTATGACACCTCTTATAATTGACCGTGCAACCCTACCCTTAATTACTGAGGGTTTTCCATCGTGAACTGAAGCTGAGGATCTCATAAACAATTAACACTGCCCTATGTCCCCACCCCCGTTCCCTCTTTCTCCAAGACCTGGCAAACACTAGTCTCTGTACATTTGCCTTTTCTTGTCTTTTTATATAAGTGAGATCATAGAATATTTGTCCTTTTGTGAAAACTTATTTCACTTAGCATAATGTCTTTAAGGAATCTTGGTGTGGAGCTGTAAGATAAGCATTGGACTGCTAACCGCAAGATTGGCAGTTCAAACCCACCAGCCACTCCTCAGAAACTCTATACAGGATCCCTGAGTCAGAACTGACGGCACTTAACAACAACGTCTTTAAGCTCCATCCATATTGTACTGGAATGTGGTGGCTCTGTAGGGTAAGCACTGGACTGTGAACCACAAGGTTGGTGGTTTGAGTCCACCAGCTTCTCGGCAAGAGAAAGATTAGGCTTTCAGCTTCTGCAAAGATTCAGTCTTGAAAACCCTACATGGGGTCACTATGAGTCGGTACCAACTTGACAGCCCTTAATAACATCAACAAAAAATTGTAGCCTGGTAGCAAGACTTCATTTTTCTCTTACTAGCTGAGCAGTCCCTGGAAAAGGACATCATGCTTGGTAAAGTGAAAGGTAAGGGAAAAAGAAGAAGACTCCCCCGACCCCCAATAAATTGGAATGGCACAGTGGGAGCAGCAATGGGCTCATGCGTAATGACAATTGTAAGGATGGCCAGGACCAGGCAGTGTTTCGTTCTGTTGCGTTAGAGCCCTATGAGACGGAATTGAATCGACTGCACCTAACAACAGCAAGCTGAGCAGTATTCCACTGTACGTATGTACCACATTTTGTTTATACACTCCTTCGTTGATGGACATGTAGGCATTTAGGACTGTGCATAATGCTACAGTGAACATTGGTGTACACGTCTGTTTGAGTCTCTATTTTCAAATCTTTTGGGTATGTACCTAGAAGTAGAATTGGGGGGTTGGTTACATGGCTCTACTTTTGTTTTTATTTTATTTTAATCATTTTATTGTGAATTGAGTGAAGGTTTACAAAGCAGATAGTCAGTTTACAATCAGTATCCACTTCACTTCATTTCAATTGCAATCCCCTCAGTGTAACATCATTGTCCCACTTTTCCAAGTTTCTTGTTTCCACTCTTCCTTCTTTGATTTTTGACCTTGGGTAAATGCTGCATTTTGATGTCAAATGGTTGACCATTTTATCATATGCATACCTCACTTGGGTCATTGTCCCCCAATAGACTTATCTATTGCTTGTCTACTTTTAGTTTTTTTGAGGAACTACCACACTGCTTTCCACAACTGTACTATTTTGTATTCCCATAAGCATTGGATAAGAGTTCCAATTTCCCCACATCCCACATCCTCACCAATATGTTACTGTTTGATTTTATTTTTCATCTTAGCCATCCTGTTTTTATTAAGTGCTGTCGAGTCGGTTCCTACTTACAGCTTCCACTGTATAGGGTTTCTAAGGAGTGGCTGGTAGGTTTGAACTGCTGACCTTGATGTTAGCAGTTCAGTGTTTATCCTACAGCACCACAGCAGGACTCCTGAAGAATATTAGCAACTATCATTATCATCCGCTTGCTTCCCCAACTCTCAGGGCACTCTGAACCATTCATAGCCATGGAACACCTCTTACCTCATTCTATGCACTAGAGTCCCAGGGTGGTGCAAATGGTTAAACACTCGACTACTAACTGAAAGGCTGGCAGTTTAAACCCATGCAGAGGCTCCTTGGAAGAAAGTCCTGGTGATCAGCTTCCAAAAGGTCACAGCTATGGGGAAAACCTAATGGAGCAGGTCTACCCTATTTGCATTGTGTTGGACTTAACAACAACTTTTTTTTTTTAAAAAACCTATCAAAGTGCTGTGTGTGGAGAGCTAGCTCAAATGTCATTTCCTCTGAGGAAAACTTCCTGTCTGCTACCTGCACCTCCTCTGGACTTTTTGTGAACTGGGTCCATTAGAGCTCTCAACCCCACCAGAGGTCTTGCTTGGCCCTGGTCCATAGAACAGAGGCCTCAGGGACATGGCCGTCTTCAAGGACTCTTGTGTCCTGCCCCATCTCCTCTCCCAGCTGCTTTCTTCTCCTGTAACTGAGGCGGTCTCACTTAGAAAGGAGATCATGAAGATGAAATGAGAAACACTGTCAAGGCCTCTTCCCTTTCTGCCTCCCCACTGAGCTCCGGTTTGGTGCCATTAACCATCCCACTCCGAGCAAGGAGTGCTAGAGATGGGTGCATTATAGGTGTCAGAACTCCTATTCTGGTCATTTCTGATCCCAGAGAGTTTGAGGTTACACCTGGGATCCAGAATTTTCAAAAGTGAGTATAAATTCTCTCCGTTGGATTTCCTTGGATTGTGTTCTATAATAACCCTGTTATGTGGTGCTGTAGGATAAGCACTGGACCGCAAGGTCAGTTTAAACTGCAAACTCACCAGCCGCTCCTTGGAAACCCTATACAGGGTCACTATGAGTCAGAACTGACTCTATGGAACTTAACAACAACAAAGAGTCCTGGTGTGGCGCTGTAGGATCAGCAATGGACTGCAAACCACAAGGTCAGCAATTCAAACCCATTAGCTGCTCCTTGGAAACCCTATACAGGGTAGCTATGAGTTGGAATGGACTCAAGGGCACTAAAGTACAATAGAAGCACCAAACCTGGTTGGAAACCCTATACAGGGTCGCTATGAGTTGGAATGGACTCAAGGGCACTAAAGTACAATAGAAGCACCAAACCTGTCATGGACGCTGCTAGGAACGCGGACTCAGGCATGTAGGAGGGGCCTCAGGATCCCTCAGACCCACAACTTTGGGAGGGAGAGTGCTGCCACCTAGGGATTAAGACAGAAACTGCGTAATCTGTCAATTAAGAGGATATTGTTAAGTACCGCGGAGTCGGTTCCACTCATAGTGACCCTGCACAGGGTTTGCGAGGTTGTACAACTTTACGGGAGCAGAATGTCTCATCTTTCTCCCATGGAACCGCTGGTAGTTTTGAACTGCTGACCTTGAGGTTAGCAGCCCGACTCATAACCACTATGCTACCAGAGCTCCTTAATTTAAAGGATGGAGGGATCCTAACTAGAAAAGCAGCGATAACAGAGATGGTAGCATAGAGACAGAGCAGCAGAGGACTACAGACCCATGGACTGAAAAAAGCATTATGCCTGTGGGCAGGAGGCTGGCTTGCAAAATGTGCCCTTTGGACATTTAAGCAAATATATATTTACAATGTGGTAAAAAAAAAAAAAAGGTAACAGAGGTTAAGAAAAGAAAGAAAGAAACTGCCAAGACTTGTACCTGAACCACTTGGACACACAACTGTGATACATGTATTTATTGAGCACTCTCCCAGCGTCAAGTACTATGTTAAACCCTTTACACACTTCTTCATTCTGAATCCCCACGACAAGCCTACGAGGTAGTACTATCATGAGTCCCATTGACGGATGAGGAACATGGGACTCAGAGAAGTAAAGTGACTTGCTCAAGGTCACACAGTGAGTAAATGGCAACACTTGAATTTGAAGTCAGATGAGGCTGCTACTTGCACGCTTAATCATGATTCTTGAATGTGTCCTACATGCTTATATCATAATTGTCTTGAGGATGCTGTGAGGAACCACATATAAAAAGGTCCCAAGGATAAGGGCTTCAACAATGTCAGGCCCCCAAAAACCAGTCTGACAAAAGGCCACCGAGACAGCCTAGTGGACAAAACGGCCCTGCCTTCTCTCTTAGGTTGCTGACCACCAGCCTGGACCAGCCAGACCCTGAGCTGCTCATGCTCCTGCCAGTTCTTGTCACTGTCCTCAGAGTAGCTCCCCACCCCAGATCCCAGAATGCTGTAGGGCTCTTCAGTAAGACAGGGACACAGGAGGGCAGTCACATTCCAAGGATTTCTGCTGAAGGCTTGCTTCCATCGGGAAGGATCTCTAGTCTGCCCCTAGAGGTTCTGGCCCAACACGAGTATCAGGCTGGCCGTGGGAGCAAACACACACAGATCCATCACTCTGATGCCCGGATGTAGACGGGTACCGCAAGCATGGCACACGGGCCCTCAGCTCCTGTCTGCAGTTCTGCAAGCGCCAGGTTGGAGCCCAGCCCCTCGGCATGCCCTGGCACCACCAGCTCAGGGTCCTCACCCACAGTACCACCCACCACGATGGACAGTACAGCATCTGGCTCAGCAAAGGGTGGCTTGCCTGGGGTGGCCTCGGGCACTGCTGCCCCTGTGTCCTTCAGTTCCTCCAGCCCCAGCGGGTCAGGCAGAGAGGTGTCCATCTTGTGCTCACCACTGCGGGGGGCTGCCCTCCTTCGGGGGACCCGCCGGGTTTGCAGGTCCTTGTCTTTTTGAGGGCCGAGGCGGCAGCGGTGATCCTTGAGGTACTTGTGGCGGGAAAAGCCCTTGGCGCAGCCAGCACAGCGGAACTTGTAGTTGCCTGTGTGGGCATGCTGGTGCTCAGCAAGGTGGGCGCGGCGGCTAAAGGACTTGCTGCACACGGTGCACTTGTGGAGCTTCATTCCTGGGAGGGGGAGAGGGTATCGGTGAGGAGCCAACAGCAATGGGGACCCTGCACTGGAAATAAAATCCAGTGTCCCACCCAAGCTTACCAGCACCTGTTCCCCAATCTCCACTCTCATCGCCCACCTCCTCCCGGCTAGCCACTTGCTCTCCTCAACTGTACCAGGCTGCTCCCACCTCGGGACCTCTGCACTTGCTCTCTTTGCTGAAACAGTCCATTTAACCCCAAATCTTTGCTACCTTTGCTAGGCACCATCATCTTGCTCCTGGATGTTCAGAGCAGCAGCCTCCGCTGTGGCCTGCCAGCTTCCTACCCCCACACCCCAGCCCTCTCAGACTGCTCCTCACTGGACAGCATCTCTGTAAACACACCCCCTGCTTCCAACCTTCCAGTGACTTGCAGGCTTCTCACAAAGCCCTATGAGATCCAATCCCTGCCCCTACCCCATTCCCTGTGCTCCAGGCCTTCTACCCCGCTTTCCTTCTCTCAAACTCCCCCAGTCCCTCAGGGCTCCTTTCTCACTCTAGAAGCTATTTCCCAGGTTCTTCTTATCCCCAGGATGCAGTTCTCAGGTCACCTCCTCAAGGAGTCACTCCCTGATACCCGCTTCCATTCTCTGCCTCATCACATTTCCATCTTTGCCCTTGGTAAAATTTTGCTTTTATTTATTCATTGTTTATTTTCCGTCTCCCCACTAAGTAAGGTTCCCCAGGAGGGTAAAGATAGGGTTCTGCCTACTTGATTTCCCATGGCTCATGGTGGTAGTTGTTGTTGTTAGGTGCTGTTGAGTTGGTTCAGACTCATAGCACCCTTGTATAAGGTTTATGAGGAGCAACTAGTGGGTTTGAACTGTCAACCTTGCTGTGAGCAGTCTAGTGCCAATCTACCAGCGCCACACCAGGACTCCTGGTAGGTTCTTGATAGTCTCTCACTGGATGACTCACGGATGCCTCCACAGCTACCAAACAGTCAACTCTATCCTATACTCACCCTGGTCTAGGCATTTTTCACAAATGCCTTTGGCCTCTCTGGCCCTGGAGACTCGAAGAGGGGCAGTGATACACCTGAGGTTTCCTGGTAGGAAAGCGGCAGCACCAAGACCCAAATCCAAGCCCTCCTTCTCCAAGTCCTTGGTCTACTTTCCCAGTTTCAAACTTCCTTTATTCACCAAGCTCTTTGTCTAAACCAGTGGCTCTTAACCAGGGACAATTTTGTCCCACGGAGGACATTTGGCAATGTCTGGAGACATTTTGGGTTGTCACACTGGAAGGAGGGAAGCCACTGGGATCTGGTGGGAAGCACTCTACAATGCACAGGAGAGCTTCCAATAAAGAGCCAACCTGCCAGTATGAATGTCATTAGTGCCAAGGCTGAGAAACCTTGTTCTAGACCAAATTGTACATGGAGGTTGAGGGGTTTGGAGACTCCTCCTCTACACCCCAGCTGCACTGCCCTACCAAGTGAGACCAAGGAACTTCCTGGCCAGGTCTTGCACCTGGTCAGATTGCTCTTCCTCCAAGTCTGATCTACACCTCTAGCACACCAGGAAGCTCTCTATTTAGCCCTGTCTTCTCAGGTCAGCTTCTTCCTCACACTGAGGGACTACGCCTGATTCATCTCTGCATTCCTGAGGACCCTAACATAGGGCCTGGCGCATGAGAAAGCTGGACTGCTGGACGAATAAGCCTCATCTCATGGGATGCGTCTGTTCTGTCTCCTCCTGGCAGGCCTGTCTTGTGGGACTTGGGCTAAACCAGACTCCTCTTGGAAGGTCCACGAACAACTGCTTACCAGAGTGAGAGAGGATGTGGGCCTTCAGCTTGTCTGGCCGATTGAACTCCTTACTGCAGCCCGTGTGTGTCCTAGAACCCAAAGCCATAGGTCAGGTGAGCCCACCAAACTTAAGATCCTCTTAACCAGCTCTTCTGCTAGCTCTGGACATGAGGGACATCCTTGTCCACTCTAAGGGATGAGCAAGAAACTAGAGTGGGGAGTGAAGACAACAATGCCCAGGACAGGATGAAAACAGAGAAAACCTCTGTCTTCAAACTGACAACTTTCCGTCCTGCCCTCACCCCACTCCCCGTGGCCACACAACACACACACACACACATCTGTGCAGTCTGTACTCACGAGAAGGGGCATTTGTATTTCTTGAATGGCTCATGGATCAACATGTGTCTCTTCAGTTTGTCCTTGCGATTGAATGCAGACTCACACACTGAGCATTTGTAGGGCTTCTCACCTGCAAGACACATCAAAGGGAGAGAGTGGTCCACTGAGAGGAAACCTTCACTGTGTTCCTCAAGCAGCAGTCTTACGAAGGAGAAACCCAAACCAAACCGACTCATAGACACCCTACGTAGGGGCTCTGAGACTGTAAATCTTTATGAGAGCAAACAGCCTCATCTTTCTCCGGAGGGTCTGAGCTGCATACCTTTCAGTTGGCAGCTCAGTGCCTAGCCTACTGTGCACACCACCAGGGCTCCTTATCTGAAGCGAAGAGGGCCTATTTTTAGAAGAGTAGTCTGGAAAGGCCTCTGAGCTGAAATCTGTGGTAGTACAAAGCTGTTGTTAAGTGCTGTTGAGTAGATTCTGACTCATAGTGACCCTGTATAGCATTTCCAAGGAGCAACTGGTGAGCTTGAACTGGCTACCTTGTGGTTCAAACTGACTTGCAGTCCAGCGCATTAACCTGCAGCACCACACCAGGACTCAGAACAGAGCTCGTCTGGGACAAAAGAAGTCCCAGGCAATCGGAAAAGCATGTGTAAAGCCCCTGAAATGGGGGTGTGCTTGGTGTATTTACAGAACACTGAGGAGCCAGTGTGGCCGGAACAGGGAGAGTGGAGGGAGAAAGAGACAAGAGGTGAAGCGAGCAATGTATCTGGGCCCAGACTGGGAGGGCTTAGAAGGCCAATGTAAGAACTTCGGCTATCACTCTAAGCAAACAAGAAGCCACCAGATGATCTGAACAGAGAAGAGACAGAATTTGATTTATGCTTTCAACGAACTCCTTCTGGCTGTGTGTGGAGAATACTGCCAATGTACTCTTGGGGTTAAAATCACCCATGTTTAAGAACAATGGATTCAGTCAAAGGATTCAGTGACTAAAAGAAAGTCTGAAAACTGGGAGAGAGACTGAGGACTTGGAGACAGTGGGCCTGGGAGCTGGGATAATAGTGGAGGCACGGAGGAGGCTAGTGTACTCAGAAAGTGGGTGGGTCCAGGCTACATTTGGAATTGACAGCCCTCAACAATGGACTGGCTATGGGGTATGAGAGCAGAGAGGAGTCAAGGGTTAGCCTAAGGTGTGGCTAAGCACGGCTTTTACTTAAATCAAATCCACCATGCTTTATTAAACTGAATTCTTGTATCAAACTGTGAGGTAACATAGAATTACTGTGTTGTTGTTGTTGTTCAGTGCCGTTGCATCGGTTCTGACCCATAGTGACCCTGCACAGGGTTTCCAAGGAGCAGCTGGAAAGCTTGAACTGCCGACTTTGCAGTTCAAACCAACTTTCCAGTCCAGCGCATTAACCCACAGTGCCATACCAGGACTCCTAGAATTACCACATGATCCAGCAATTCTCAGCTAGGTATATGCTCAAGAAACCTGAACTAGGGACTCAACAGATACTTCTGTACCAATATTCATTGTAGCAACATGCACAATAGCCAAAAGGTAGAAAGAAACCCGAGGCCCATCAACTGATAAACAAATAAAATGTGATACAGCCATAGAATGGAATATTTGGCCATAATAAGGAATGAAATTCTCAAACATGTTACAACATGGATGAACCTTGAAAACATAACGCTGAGTGTAATAAGCCAGGCACAAAAGGACAAATATAGTATGACCCCACTTATATGAACTATCTAGAACAGACATGTGCACAGGACAGGAAGTAGATTAGTGTTATGATTAGCAGGAAAGAGGGGCTGGGTGAGGAGCTATTGCATGATGGGTACGGAGTCTCTCCGTGGGGTGAATAAAACATTTTGGAAACAAATGGTCATGGTTGCACAACATTGTGAGTATGATTAATGCCACTGGATTTACACGTGGAAATGATTAAAATAGGATAAGCACTTGACTGCAAGGTCAGTTTGAATTGCAAAGTTGGTGTTCAAACTCGCAAGCCGCTTCTCAGAAACCCTGTGCAGGGTCGCTGTCTAAGTGAGAACCAACTCAAAGGCACTTAACAATAACAAATATTTTAACACAATTTAAAAACCATGAGGTAAGGCCTGTCATTATTCCCATTCTATAGATGAACAAACTGAGGTCCAGAGTAACCTACTCAAAGATTACCCCTAATGGTTTGGGGAGCTAGGATTCTAGCCAAGCAGTGCTGAAGAAAATATAGGCGGTCCATCTCATAGGGGGAAGATCCCTGGTGGCACAGTGGTTAAAGCACTTAGTTACTAACCAAAAGGTCAGCAGTTTGAACCCACCAGCTGATTTGCAGCCTTGGAAACCCTATGGGGTAGTCCTACTTTGTCCTATAGGACTACTGTGAGTTGAAATCCACTGACAGCAATGGATTTACCCAGGAGGTAAGGGAGATAAGGCAGCTAGAGAGGGGGCATCTCTAACCCAGCCAAGGTCAGGGGGCCTCTGAGAAGCCCACAAGACATCAAAGGAGGTACCTGCAAAGCTGTTGTGGGGTCAAAACCTGCCCTTTGGGAAAGGGCTACTTCTGGACATTTTTGATTTCGTGCCATTATCTCCTCTCTGTTTTCCCTGGAATGAATACAGTACTTTTGAAAAATGCCAATCCAGTGGTTAAGGAAATTCTGGTCCTTACCATGGAATGCTAGGAAACCATTAAAAAGGTTAAAGTCAATCTGTGTTTCCTGATCTAGAAAGAGCTCCTGGACATACTGCCTTGGAGGAAAAGAAAGCTGTAGCCCAGTTTAGCACACTCCCATTTTTGTTAGAAGAAAATACAATCTCCACCCCACCAAAAAGAAAACCTAGCCATCATAATGAATATGCAGGAAGTAAGATGGGGAGGGGACATGCCAAACTGTCAGTAGCAATTAGGATTTTAACAGTCCTAAGGGGGAATGCCTTTGAATTGT